TACACACACACACACACACACACACACACACACACACACACACACGTTGTTTCTGCCATGAGAAGAATGCGTCTGTGTTGGGCTTGGCCGGTTGCCTGCATCCCTTGCTGCTCCGAGCTTCCCAGCCCAGCATTCCACGAGAGGGTCCCTGGCCTTAGGAAGGCCACAGGAATGTCCCCACCCGCCCTGCTCTGGCCTCGCCTCCCCTTTTCAGAGTTTAAGAAAATAAAAGTGAGTGAAGGATACGTTTCTCTCTCTCAGCCTTGCTGAGGGTGATGGAGGGAGGAGGCATCGGCATTAGGAAGGTCCCCGGCTGCCCCCAGGCAGAGGGGGGTGGGGAGGTTCTCATTTAAAGGACAGTGAAGCTCTGGACGAGGTGAGGGGTCCTGGGAGGGGGACTCTCATCTTGGCCCTCGAAGCCATTACTGGGATGTTACAAGACCACTAGGGCATTCCTGGCGTGGACAACAGCTCTTCCCCAGATCCCTGGAGTGGGGTTCAGTGCAAGGATCCTACACAGAGGTGGGCAGTGCCTGAGCTGAGAGACCTTGTTATGTAACCCCTGGGTCCGTTCCAGTTATGAGGGATGGGACACCCTCTGACCAATGGGAACTTGTGGAAGAGTCTTGCTGGCCCGAGCAGTCACTAAAAAGGGGCCAGGATGTCCCAGCCTTTGGCATTCGTCCACTTTCTGGGAATCTGGGAAAGTGGGAGGAAGACCACTGGGAGAGAAAATGACCACCTCAGATACAGGAACTACAGTCAGCCCTGAAGATTTGAGGCTCCCGAGTGTGTGTGGGCACTCTTCCTCTGAGAACACTGCTTTGGTTTGGTTTCTCTGGAAGGAGTTTCATACTCTCCTTTCATACTTGCCCACCCATCACTCCAGCACTCCCTTGATTTCTGGAACGTGCTTACATGTAGCCCCAGGTGAAAAGGAGGAGAAGGAGATTGCCTGTGGCCTCTCCCCTGGAGCAGAGTACTGAAGAGGAGAGGAGGGGGAGGAATCGACCCCCTTCTGAAGGTCTGAGAGCCTGGCTATGGGCCTGTGTGCACCTGGAGGACAGGTGGGGTTAGGGAGGCACCGCGCATCTCCATCATGAAGGAGCTGAGTCAGCCACGGGGTCTCCTCCCTTCCCTGAATCTTAGGAACGTGTCCCTGGCACCATATGGAATGAGATTGATGACATGCAGGTGTTTCGGATTCTGGACCTCACGGACTTTGAAAAAATGTTTTCAGCTTATCAGAGGCATCAGGTAACACCCTGCCCCCTCTAGCGTCTTGAGTCTTGACTTCACACACACCCTTTGAACTCAACCCTCAGCCCCTCCCTTCCTCTCTTCCTCCCTCCCTCTCCCTTCCACATATACTGAATTGATTTTATTCTTTATCAGGTACCATGTTCTTTCTGGGGACATAGATATGAGTTAGTGGGGTGCAGTGCATAGGGGGAAACATCCCATTGTATTAGTTTGTATTTGCACATCAAGTGGTGAAATAATACATTGTCCATTTCTCTCTTTGGTCTTGGAGCACTGGAGGTGGAGTAGCAGGGCCAGGCCACTGTTGACCTTGCTCTTTTTTCTGGCCCTGGGACCTAGGAACTACACCTACAAGGCATTATAACTTTTCCACCACATTTTCTGCTATACTTTCATCTCCCAACACTCCCAGGAGTCGAGCAGAGGACGTTAATGTTTCAAGGAAGGTGGAGCTACTTCAGGTCACACTGCGGGGCTGGGGCTGAGGCTGGGGTTGGCCAAGAGAGGCCCTGGCTCTGCTCTGCAGACGCTGTGTACAGAGGCTGACCAGCAAGCCTGCTCCTCCCGAGGCAGGACAGGGCTTGGTGTCAGGCTTGGTGTCAGGACGCACGTGCTCTTGAGGCAGTACCTGCTGGGTTGGCCAAAAATGCCGATTCTCCAACCTCACCCTCCCATGAGTGTGAGGGCCCAGGAATCTGCATTGCAGACCTGGGGGCCATCCTCCGAGGTCCAACCTGGGCATTAGCAGCCTAGAGGCCTCGGAGCGTTTGCTTCGTCTCTGGGCCGCCTCCCAGGAGTTGTTTCCTCTCCAGGCTGTGCTGTCTTCTTCCATGTTTTCTCCACTGACTTCAGGTTCCAGCCCTGAGGACTTCCCCAGGTGCCTGTGAGTGGGGTCTGGGCCCTCATGGCTCCTGGGCAGAGGCAGCATGTCATGGCCGGTCTCCCCACTGCTTTCTGCCAAGGCCAGAGCTGTGGATGACCCTTCCTGAGGGCGGGCAGGACCAAGAGCACGTGTGACTGCTCCTGGGCGACCAGCCAAAGGGGTGCAGGGAGGGCGGGGCTCTGGCCCTGCCTTAGGGGTCTAGGAAAACCAGATGGTTGTTTGTTTAACTTAAATGTAGGTGCTCTAGGCCTCTGATCCTTTACCCCTAATTCCAGGAAGCCCTGTGCCCATGTCCAGCTGGCATGGTACAGGCAGCAGCTGTGGCCCGGCTGGGGCAGGAAGAAGTTCTCTGGAGCATTTGTTGCTCCTGTGATCAGTGCTCCCGAGCAGGGATGGAGGGAGTGTGTGCCGGGGGGATATCAGTCCTGGGCGAGCACACACCTCCCCCTATTTTGAGAGTCTTCCTCCGGGCCAGGGTTCCAGCCTGGCCCACCCAGTCTCCAGGGCCCTGAGGTAGGGCTATGGTGGGGGCTGGGGGGAAAGAGGGACTCCGGGGTTTAGGACAGGCTGGGCCTGGGGCCTCCCAGTTTGGGGAGTGGAGGGGAGTGAAGACGGACAGCGCCCTGCTCTGTCTCCCCTCATCTCTCTGAGCCTGCTCAGTCCAGCACCCTGTTTCGGGGCTGGGCTCACCTGGACTACTGTCGCTCTGCAGGTCACCCGGACTCTGGGGTGTTGAATTCACAGCAGCAAGGCTGGAGACCCAGAGCTGTGCTGCCCTGGTCGCCTCCTCTTTCTGTCTTGGGGTCCGGGGTGCATGGGACAGGGACGGGCCTATGAGCGTGGTCTTCCCTCTGTGCTCTCTGCGTGTCCTGAGTTAGTGACTTCAACCTCACCCGGGTCAGGAAGGGAGCACCAGGGGTGGGCTCTGCCCCCTCTGCTCCCTTGGAGATCAAAAGACAGACAAGGGGCAAAGGGTAAGGAGCAAAGTTCAGGGACGCCTGCTTTTCTCTGTCTCAGTGAATGCAACTTTCACGTGCTTTCAGCTCAAGTTCGGTTGTGGTTGTGGCTCCTCCCCTATTTTGAAAGATGTAGGGGTGCAGGAATGCCCTTTGCCCTCTGGGCAGATTCCCAGCAGAGGAGCAGGAAGAACTGCAGCCAAGGCCTGGGGTGGGGCAGCTCGGGGGCCTGGTCCGACTGGGGAGTGGTGGTCCCCCTGGGCACGGGGCACTCAGGAGAGGCTGCCTGTCCTCTGCTTGGCCTGGCTTCTCTGAGTGCATGTCTGCAGCTCCCGTTCAGTGCTACTTGCAGGTCTCCATCTCCAACCATGGGGGTCTCACTGGGATGGGGCAGACAGTAGATGCTGAGGGGTCCCCATGTCTTTCCTACTGTTCTTGGGTCCCCAAACCTCTTGGCTAACGTTGTGCATGTTTAATTCTCTATCGGCTGTGGCTGCTACCTGCCTAGGAGCTGATAACTAATCCTTGCCATCAGGTGAGTCACTCCTGGGGCTCTGGGCACTCCAACTTTTAACCGCTGTGCTGGGCTGCTGCCCTGTACTGGGCCCAAAAGAGAGGGCTTGTCAGTTCTACCTTCTGCCTTTTTACCCATCTTAACAGGGTGGCGTCAGGGAGTGTCCCCAAAGAAAAAGCAGAAATGTAGGGAAGGGAGCTAATGCAAGCAGACCCCTACCAGCAGCAGAGGTGAATGTCTACTGGGGTGAAGAGAAAGCTTCTAGGTCTCATGTCTTACCCACTAGGCCCAAGGCAAGGCCGTCCTGTAAGACTGCACAGGCTAGGCACTGAACAATTCCGGGGGCACAATTCACAAAGACAGTGATGTGAGTGGCAGCCCCTGGAGTCGTCTAACCTGGAGCATGTGCTTGGAAGGACCTCCCAAAGGAAGAAACAGTCTCTTGTCTATCTCACCAGGGGCCAAGAGAAGGCCAGGGGATCTTTGATTTCTTGGGAACTGCCCGCTGGAACCCCAGAGGAGAGAACTTTGCAGGGAGTTGTGCCTCAGTTTCCCCACCTCTGAACTTGCAGATGCCCTCCACCCTGGGCACACCGGGCCGTGCCCGAAGTCCCCAGGGAGGGGTCCAGGAACTGTGACCTTACGGGGACTTGGAACCAGCTTCTCGTCATAAGATTGGGGAGGCTCTCTGGGTGGGCTGGGGTGGGGTAGGGGTTGATTGTCTGGAACACAGTGTAGATCACACTACACAGCCACAGGGGTCAGTCACTCCCCGTCTAGTTTGCCCACAGAGGGCAGTCTCTGATAAAGGGTCTTCTTATTGCCCCCGACCCAGTCTAGCCCAGGGTAAAGCCCCAGAGCCTCCTATTGGAGTCAGATATTAACCACCCTCCTCTCTCTCCTGTCTTTTTCTTTCCCTCTCTTTCTTCCGCTCACACCAGGAGCGTTCCCTGCTTGTCACGGGGGTGGCTCCTGGGTAGGGGGTAGGCAGAAAGAGGACTGGGGAAAACACACACTTCACCCTTTCTACTTGGCTTGTCGGTTGCAGAAAGAGTTGGGCTCCACAGAGGACATCTACCTGGCCTCGCGCAAGGTCAAAGAGCTGTCGGTCATCGACGGCCGGAGGGCGCAGAACTGCATCATCCTTCTCTCCAAGTAGGTGCTCGCCCTGCCTCTACGGCCCCTGTTCCACAGTAGGTTGCAGGTGGGAGGGACTGGGTCCCCAGGAAGCAGAGGCCTGAGCTGGGGCTAGAGAGAAATATGATGGAGCTGAGTGCCTGGGGGAGAGAGGTGCCTGGCAGAGGAATGGGGTGATAGCAGTATCTGCCCCCCCCCCGTCTCCTGGCTGTCCCCTGGGGCGGCACGGGGCCCCTGATCTCGAACCCTCTCCCGGGAGCCCATGTTGAGCAGCAGTGAGGGGCTCTGCAGACGGGAAACTGCCCCATCACGAGGCCCCTGACCAGCCTGGTCAGCGTCTGGCAGCGGAGCTGCTCTAAGCCCATGGAGGGCCCCGCTCGTCTCAGGCCACAGAGCAGCATGATCTCAGCCCCCAAGCATTTCCCGCGGCTGCAGAACAAACAGGGCAGTATCTGCAGTAACACCATAGCTTCTGTGCGGGGCCTCCCGCCAGAGCCGGGGTCAGAGGTCCCCGCCTCCCATACTATTCTTAGCACTGCCCCAGCTGCCCCGGGCCGTCCATCCCCGCTTTCCCCCCCACAAGGTCCTAAGCCTCAGTTTCTCCCCCTTAATGCTTCCCCAGGGCCTCCCAATGGGTGTGCATCTGGAGGGGCTGTGTGTGTGTGTCTGTGTGTGTGAGTGTGTGTGTGTGTGTGTGTGCACGTGTGTGTAGGGGGTTGCTTCTCCCTCTCCCAGACAGCAAGACATGTTGGAACAGCTGTGCGGGACCCAAGGCACTGTCAGAAGACTGAGACCTGTTCTGTCTTGAAGGAAACAGGAAACTGCCCCCTTAGTGACCTGCCCACATTCCCATCCTCCCGTGGAGATGCCGTGGGTATTTCCGGCATGGGGAGAGGGATCAGAAACTCCTCGCCCTGTCTCAGTCTACACTGAAGATGGCCCTTTTCCTCCCAAATGTCCCTATCCATTAGGATGGAGACTCGAGCAAGAAACCAGAGACTCACGTCTCTAGAGACTAAAGTATCTCAGGATTGAGTTATAGAGTGAACCATGTGAGTTTAGTCTGAGAAGGCTTTGCAGAGGAGGGAGTGCTATCAAATGTAAGCGAGAGAGAGAAGGCCCAGGCACTGGCTTCTGAAGGAGAAGGTCTGGGGTCTGTCCTGAGCAGAGGGGCCAGGCCAGGCTGCTCAAGGTGGGGTTTTTGCCTTAGGTTGAAGCTGTCTAACGAGGAGATCCGGCAGGCCGTCTTGATGATGGATGAGCAGGAGGACCTTGCTAAGGACATGCTGGAGCAGGTGAGGCCCCTGAAACTAGGGGGCGGCCAGACCCCTTCCTGACGGCCCCCAGGGAGGCCAAATCTCTTAGGTCAAGGAAAAATCGGGCTGGGGGCTGGAGGAGTGAGGGAGAGGCTTATAGAAACTTCCCTGGGCCAACCTTTCCGAGGAGAGACCAGAAAAGGCTGCATCTTTTTTCAGGGGATTGAGGCCCCCAGAAAGGAGATATGAGGAGTGACCCCCCCCACCCCGCCATGGGCCTCAGGGCAAAGGCAGTGACCCATAACCATATCTCCCCCAAATCTCTTCCACATCAGTCTGTTGTGTCCTTCAAGAGAAACCCAGAAAACACCAAGCAAAACCACCATCAATTGGACATTAAAATTAAGAACTCTGTCGATCAAAAGGCACTATTACTAGAGTGAAAAGGCAAGCCAAGCTTTAGGAGACCTTTGCTTTATGTATCGATCACAAAGATCTCATATTCAGAACAAAGAACTTTACAAATCAGTGAGAAAAATGGCAAACAACTTAAAAATGAGCAAAAGACTTGAATAGGTACTTCATGAAAGAAAATTTCCAAATGGTTCAATACTATCAGTCATCAGAGAAATATGGTAAATCACAGTGAGGTAGCACCATCCACCCACCTAAACAGCTAAAATTGAAAAGGCCAACAGTGCTAGGTATTGGCAAGGATGTGAAGCAACTGGAACTCTCATTGGGTAGAACCATTTTGGAAAACGATTTGGCAGTACACATACCTATCTTAGTGCCCAACAATCCCACTGGGTACAAGCACCAACTATAGGAATATTTATAACAATTTTATTTATAAAACCCCGCAAACTGTGAACAACTCAGCTGTCCATCAGTAGCAAAGTGAATAGACTGTGGTATATTCCTACAATAGAATAGTGCTCAGCAATGAATAAAAAATGGATTACCAATAACTACATGGAGGAGCCTCAGATGTTATGTTGAGTGAAAGAAGCCAGACCCCAGAGAGAACACACTGCATGAGTCCATTTGTATGAAGTGCAAGAACAGCCAAGTTTTATCTAAGGTGATAGAGTTCAGTTGAGAGGCTACACTGGGGGATGGGGGTGGCTTGGCTTACTGAAGTAGCACAAGCGAACTTTCTACGGGGATGGAAATCTTAGTTTAATCTGGATGGTGGTTCAGTGGGTGGATAGTCTTGTCAAAATTCATCGAATTGCACATTTAAAATGGATGCATTTTATTTTATGTAAATTATACCTTAATAAAGTTGGTTTAAAAAGAAAAAAATCGGGCTTCCCTGGTGGCGCAGTGGTTGAGAGTCCGCCTGCCGATGCAGGGGACACGGGTTCGTGCCCCGGTCCGGGAGGATCCCACATGCCGCGGAGCGGCTGGGCCCATGAGCCATGGCCGCTGAGCCTGCGTGTCCGGAGCCTGTGCTCCTCAACAGGAGAGACCACAACAGTGAGAGGCCCGCGTACCGCAAAAAAAAATAAAAAGAAAAAAAGTAAAAGAAAAAAATCATTGAGCTGTACGCTTAAGAACAAATACACTTTACTGTAGGTAAGTTATATCTCAATTTTAAAAAGTCAAAAAAATAAAATAAAAAGGAAGTCTAGAGCTGGGTGTCCTGTGTCCCCTTGGGGCAGGTGAAACATAAACCACCCCCATGAGGATGCACCTCTCTTTTATGGGGGGCCCTCCCCATCTTGAGCCTGGTCAGTGTGTGGGCTTCCATGGGCTGCCCACCCCCCATGTCAGCTTCTCACCTGTTTCCTGTCTGACCTTCACGTGCTCTTTGCAGCTCCTCAAGTTCATCCCGGAGAAGAGTGACATTGACCTCCTGGAGGAGCACAAGCATGAGATAGAGCGGATGGCCCGTGCGGACCGCTTCCTCTATGAGATGAGCAGGTCGGGGGGCAGCAGGCGTGGCCAGGAGGGGGTGGCGGTGGGCGGGCCAAGGAGGGGGCTGGAGCTGCTCTGGGGCTGGGGCTGGTTGCGGGGAGCGGGGGTGCTGCCTCACGATGCAGCCCGCCCTGTCCACAGGATCGACCACTACCAGCAGCGGCTGCAGGCCCTCTTCTTCAAAAAGAAGTTCCAGGAGCGGCTGGCCGAGGCCAAGCCCAAAGTGGAAGGTATGGCTGAGGGCTGGGGAGGAGACCTGGGGGTGGGAGGCAATGGACAGGCACAGAGGAAACCTCCTTCCTTATTCTTGATTGCCCCCAGAAAACCAAAGTCAAGGACAAGATGTAAGTCTATGAGTTTTGTAGATGTATGCACTTGTGTATGTGTGCACACGTGCCGGCCACGCACCCCATTCCCCGTGCCTCAGCATGCAGGCTTTCCAAGGCGGGGAGTCTGTTGACATCTGCCCCAGCCTGGAACAGAAATGCTGAAAAAATGACGATGACATTAAGCACCTAGAACACTTCTTGGCACAGATTGCTCCGCTTGAGAGGTCCTAGGTGCAGAGAAGACCTTGGACATGTTATTTTAAGTGTGAGCTACTAAGAAAGTAGGAAATTGGGCAGCAGGATCCCCAGAGGTATCTGATTTGCTGGGGTGGGGAACCCCTCCCACCTTTTTCAGGTGAGAACTTTGTAATTAAACGAGAACCACATGCCAAGTACTGTGTGAAACACTCCATGTGGATGGTCTCATTTGGTCCTCGCAACGCTACGGGGGCCATTCACTCATCTCTAAGATGAGGCTATGTTAGTGGCCCAAGGCTATGTTGCTGGTAGGTGGTGGAGCCAGGATAGGAACGCAGATGTCGTTCTTCAGAATCCATCCCTTCCCTCTTGTCCTGTAGTACTTCCCAGAGGGCATGTCCCTGGAACTGCCTGGGGATGGCAGAGGACGGAGGCACAGGGAGCTGGGGAGAAAGGCAGGTGGTCAGGAGGGTGGGCAGCCGTGAGGACCCCAGAGGGAAGAAGCAGGAGAGGCTGTGAGGCTCATCTGCGGTGAGAACAGGATCAGCAGATTGGAATGAGAGAGCCAGTGTCCAGGATGCTGGGGGGCAGGCTGGGGGCAGAGCAGAGCATGGGCCCCCTCTGCTGGACACCAAGCTGCCTGCACTCCCTGGGAGGCCCAGGCCAGAGAATGGTCCTTCCTGGAGTTTGATGAGCTGCTTCGGGAGGATTCCCGGGGTAAGGTGGAGCGTGGCAGGGTTAGAGGCAGACGTTTTCTGTAATCTGGACAGACACACGCACACCCACGCACGTGCATGCATGCAACAAGGGGTCCGCAGGCTGTGTGATCATAGATAACGGGTCTGAGGGGGAAGGAAAGGGTTCAACAGTGACTCTGCAGGTCTGAAGGCACCTCCTTCCCTGGTGACGGGTGAGTCCTGCTGCTGACTGCCTTTGGGGCGTGAGGCACAGATAAAGGGGTTCAGCCCAAGGCATGTGTTCAACTATTTGTGTCTCTTGGGTCAGTGAAGCAAAAGTGAGCAATCGCCTGTCATTTGGATCTGTGGAACCAGAGCAGTTTAGCCGCCAGGTAGATTTTGGCTCAGATAATTTCCTGCTCCCAGGAGCTCACTCCTAAACTCTCCCTAAGAGGTCATCAGTGCACGCTCAGGAAAGAGCTTCCCTTTAATATCGAGCTAAGCAGAGTGAGAGGCGTTTGGGATGGCAAAGCCTGCTGAGGAAAGTAACAGTCGCTCTGCTATCGCCATGGCTACCGTTCTAGAATGGTCTGGAGGTCTCTTCTGTCCCAGACTTGGGAGCAGGTGGCTGAAGTGGTATTTGACAGAATCAGGTCAGTGGGCTTGACTGGGGGCAGAGAGGTGAGGATCGTGCAGGGGTTGGGGTCCATGCTCCTCCCTCCAGTTCTCCCAGGAAATATTCCTGGAAGAGCTAAGATTTGGCCTATCCCAACTGGTTGATGAGCTGTTGACCCCTGTCCCCAGCATCCCTCCCTCCCCAGGCAGGGCCTCTGGGTCAATTTGCCGAAAGCCAATTCATCAAATCTGACAAATTTACCAATTCTTCTATGAATATATTCATGAACATATTCTTGAATATATTCTATGAATATGTTCATTGCTGAATATACCGAATTTACCGGTGCTCATTATGAACATATGCCGAGTACAGTCAAGATGAATACGGCTTCACATGTAAACATTCTTACGAATATATTCATGAATATATTATGACTATATCTAAAATGTCTGCATTGCATTATGGGAGTTTTCCCATTTACACTGATTCCCTTTGAACTCTTGTCAGTTTCTGTTTTGCCAACATTTTAGCATTTTTAGGATTCCTCTGTAGATTTTTCAAATAGCAGCCTATCAGCCTTAGAAAAACTATCCCAACCGGAAACTCTGAAGTAGTTTACTTAAAAAAAAAAAAAAAAAAACCAAAACAACTTGTTATTGAAATATGCACCTAGAAAAGTACACAGATCCTAAGAGTCCTAATTGATGAATCATCCAAAAGTGAATGCACCTGTGTGATCAGCAGGCAGGTCAAGAAATGGAATGTTTCCAGTCCCCCAGAGCCCTTCTTCAGGTCCCCCTCTCAAACGTTACTTCCTCCAAATCCTCTGAAGGTTTGTCTATCTTGAACTTTCTGTAAATGGAATAACATAGTACAAATAATTTTATGCTGGTCTTTTGTTCAGCATTATGTTGTAAGTTATCCCTATTATTACAGGGAGCGGTGGGTTATTTATTTTCAGTGCTGCGTTTTATTCCATTGTATGAATATACCATAATTTACTTAACCAATCTAGACGGAATTTTTTAAAAACACAAACTAGAAACCATTCAATTATTCATCAAGAGTATTGCCACTGTTAGGTCACAGAATAGGCAGATGTTTCAGTTTAGAAGCCACTGACCAACCTTACCTCTTACTCATTTTTTTTTTTTTTTTTTTGTGGTATGTGGGCCTCTCACTGTTGTGGCCTCTCCCGTTGCGGAGCACAGGCTCCGGACGCGCAGGCCCAGCGGCCATGGCTCACGGGCCCAGCCGCTCCGCGGCATGTGGGATCCTCCTGGACCAGGGCACGAACCCGTGTCCCCTGCATCGGCAGGCGGACCCCCAACCACTGCGCCACCAGGGAAGCCCTCTTACTCATTTTTTTACAGCTTTTTTTTTTTTACAGTTACTTTAACTGCTTTTGAAGAGTTTTGCAAACTTTTAGTCAAATGGTTTGCATTTAATCTTCATAGCAGCATCTTAAGGAATCTTCAGTTTGGCAGAAGCCAAAGATCATAATACAATGGTTTGATCTTCTCACCACCACATTTAATAATCCAAAATCATATTCTATAACTGGCAGCCAAATTTTCAGTGTAGGATTTGTATCCCAATTCTGCACATCCACCATTAAATACAGAATAACTGAGGAAGGGCCAGAGTACCCACATCAGAATGAAATACTGAAGTTTTGGTTACTGTTAGTCTTAGTTTGTACTTCCCAGAAAGGTATCATTTAAGGAATTGGAGGGAAATTTTTAAATGCCTAAAGGTTGGAACATTCTTTTAAATGATATTCAATAGGCTGTCTAGTAACCTATTTAATCAAATCTAAGACACCATCAACTGCAAAGCACACCGTTATCTTATAAAACAAAAACATGAAAATACTGCAATTGATGATGTTATAATTTAATTGACAGGGATGTTTTTCTTTCCAAAAAGATCAACAAAATTCAGCACTTCAAAAGAGGCAGAAACAGTCCCATAGTATGTAAAATGCTGAAGTTAAAAATTTTAATCATTAGGTTTAGAAAAGTAAAAGTATTATATATATATATATATATTTTTTTTAAATAAATTTATTTTTGTCTGCGTGGGTCTTCGTTGCTGTGTGCGGGCTTTCTCTAGTTGCGGCGAGCGAGGGCTTCTCACTGCAGTGGCTTCTCTTGTTGCGGAACATGGGCTCTAGGCACATAGGCTCCAGTAGTTGTGGCACAGAGGCTCAGTAGGTGTGGCTTGCGGGCTCTAGAGTGCAGGCTCAGTCGTTGCGGTGCACGGGCTTAGTTGCTCTGCGGCATGTGGGATGTTCCCGGACCAGGGCTCGAACCCGTGTCCCCTGTATTGGCAGGTGGATTCTCAACCGCTGTGCCACCAGGGAAGCCCAAAGTATTATATTCTTGCATATATCCACAGAAAGAATATGTTAAGAGTCTAAATATATGCAAGGAAAGATGATACATTCTCCAATATAGTCTTAGGAAGAGTTGGCACATTTTGAGAAAGGGTTATTTGGTGAATTGGCTTTTGGCGAGTTTGCTTCCCCTGGAGGCAGGTAGATGTGGAGAAGATCGTCTGCTGGGCTGTGGGCATAGCCTCTGCCCCTCTGAAGCTGACACTTAACGGCGCCTTTTCTGGACTTTGTGGTAGTATCATCCTAGGGTTCAAGGGCCTGGTGTATGTGGGGCTCTCACCTGTCCCTCCTCCCCCAGCCATCCTGCTGGCCTCCCGGGAGCTGATCCGCAGCAAGCGTCTAGCGCAGATGCTAGAGGTCGTCCTGGCCATCGGCAACTTCATGAACAAAGGGCAGCGTGGGAGCGCCTACGGGTTCCGGGTGGCCAGCCTCAACAAGATTGCCGACACCAAGTCCAGCATCGACAGGTGCGACCTGCCGGCTTCTGGAGCCTCCGTCTCACCCCACCCTGGCCTCTCCCCTCCTCCCCGTTACCCTCCCAAAATATGCCACAACTTCCCCTTAACACCTCACCCTAGTTTCCGCCGGACCCTCATTCCCAATGCCCTTGGCCCCGAATCCCTGACCCGACTTTCACCCACAGAAACATCTCTCTGCTCCATTATCTGATCATGATCCTGGAGAAGCATTTCCCTGACATCCTGAACATGCCCTCTGAGCTGCAGCACCTTCCAGAAGCCGCCAAAGTCAAGTAAGGGGTCCTCTTGAGGCTGCCTTCTCCCTGTGATCCCGCCCTCTCTCATCTAAACTTCCTCCTTCGGGGCTGCTCTGAGCTGGCTCAGAATGAACAGCATCTCGGGGTCTGCTCTGGGAGAACCCAGTGAAAGACACTCTTTGCTCTCAAATCCTCATTTCAGAGATTCTCTCAGGAAACAAAGCGGGGAGTGGGGAGTTGCAACAGGGATGGGGAGAATGCCGGCAATGGGGTTGTTATGAAGCCACTTACCACTGCAGGCGATCAGAGCTTAATCCTGCCTCTGCAGAGTGTGGGAGACAGTGTAGGACACTCGCTCCATTATCCCCACAAGGGGTAAGATGGGCATCATCTACCATCTCCTGTCGCTCACTGGCTGGGGGTGGGCAGTAATGCTCTGGCCCGCAGAGAAAGTGCTCAGTGGTTGGAAGTCAGGGCTGTCCACTACAACGGAAGGTCCAAGGAGATGGCGGGGGTGGGGTGGCGGGCTCCAGGGGCATCTGCTACAGGCGAGAAGTCAGACCTGAACGTATATAGGCCGATAGAAGCAGAAACGCAGAGGTAAATAGCTAATACACATCAAAGGTATACTGCATGCAAGATACCATGTTAAGAGCTTATGAGCATTACCTGATGGTAATAAAAATAAATCCAAGCCAGAGGCCATGTGTTGGAAACCTTCCAATATGCAGCATGACATTTCCGGTCTAGAAGGATCTATAGGACATGTTTCACCCGTCATTTTATAGAAGCACAGACAGAGCACAGAGGGGAAATGATTTGCCAGGGCAACATGTTAACAATCAAAGCAGGGCTGGAACCCGGGTGCACTGACTCCCAAAGCCATTGGGGTTTGCTCTGCCTTGTACTAACCCCAGCTCCTCTCCCTCCCTCTGTGTCCCCCCGCCCCCCATAGCCTGGCAGAGCTGGAGAAGGAGGTGGGCAACCTCAGGAGGGGCCTCAGAGCAGTCGAGGTGGTGAGTACATCATCTATGCCTGCCTGGGTTTGAGGGGATGCTGCCCATGCTGCCTGTGTTTGCTGCCTGTCACTGGGCCAGAGGGTGGACTCCCCCACCCCCACCCCAGAGGCAGACCCTGTCTGATGCATCTCTGTGACCCAAAGCTCCGGGCTGGGGTGACAGAACAGCTGGCACAGGTACAGCCTGTAGCATAGATGAGTGCTCAGGAAAGGATAACTGAATTACCCAAGGCTTAAATTTAGACTCCTGAAGAGGGGACACCCATCTGAGACTGTAGCCTATCACTGTACAGTGGAGTGGAGTGAATGAGAAATCTGCCACGTTTAAGATTGATTCAAATCGATGGGACAGAAGATCTGCGTGCCTTGGAAGCTTAGGGCCGGTAACACCTAGTGTGACACTGGGGACCACTGTCCCCAGAAGTTCTTTCCTTATGTCTCTTCACCTCCTGCCTGGGCCAGTAGAGGACCCAGGGGCTTTACTTTTTTTTTGCTGGAGACCCAGATCTCTACTATTCCTGATCTAAGGGCTTCTCAGATGATACTGTCTCTAGCCCAGTGTGGAGGCGGCCCACTCCTTTGTTCCGATCTAGGAACTAGAGCGCCTTCTCATCTTCACTGGGCGTATGTGGGGAGGCGGCTAAGGGGATAATGGGCTTAGAGAAAGAAGTATGAGAAGGAACCTTTTGTTGCCATTATGGCAGTGGGGGGACGGGGCAGGGGGCTGCTTTCTAATTTATAGCCCTTTAAAGCGCTACCCAAAATGTGGTCTGTGGTCCATGAACCAGCAGCATCGCATCAACTGGGAGATTTGGAAATGCATCTCACGCTTTAATCGGCACACAGATCACCCAAGGTTCTTGTGAAAATGCAGATTCTAATTCTGAGTGGGGCCTGAGAGCCTGCTTCTTAAAATTTCACGCTGCTGGTCCCAGACCACGCTTTGGGTAGCAGGATCTAGAGAAAGAAATATGGCAGCGGCGGCGAGGGAAGCATAGAGGCAGGGGGGACTGGTTGATACCTCACAATCTTTGCCACCCTTAGAATTTGAGACCCAGGGTGTTCCCTCTTCCAAAGGCAGGCTCAGTGTCCTGCGATTGGCAAGGAGGGTGGAAGATGTGGTGAGTCCCAGCATTCCTGACTCTCGTCCTGGCACTGGTCTGACCAGCACTTGGCTCTCCCTCCTCAGGAGCTGGAATATCAGAAACGCCAGGCGTGGGATCCGAAGGACAGGTTTGTCCCGGTCATGAGCGACTTCATCACGGTCTCCAGCTTCAGCTTCTCAGAGCTGGAGGACCAGCTCAATGAAGCCAGGGCCAAGGTAAGGGCGCCCCAAGCCCCCAGGCTGACCCCAACCCCACCCCTCTCTGTCTTCACCGGTCCTACCACAGGTGGCCCAGAAGGGACACACCCAGAGGCACAGAGCTTTGAGGAGAAAGGGTTTCCTCACTCCTACAAGAAAAGCGACAGCAACGCTGTTGCAAAGTTCACAGTCCATTGACCAGATGTCAGGCGCCCCATGAAGTGTTTTCCATCCTCTGTCTCACCGCCTACCTTCTGGGTTTGTTGAAAGGCTATTATCCCATTCCACAGATACGTGCACTGAGATCCACAGACGTTAAGTAACTTGCCCAGGGTTGCCCAGCTGTGACACACAGAGCTGGGTTAGAAGCCTGACTCCGGAGCCTAGCTTTGCTCTCGGTTGCTCTGCCTCTTCCTGCTTTGCACTCTGGACCCCAACTGTGGGAGTCTTATTGAGATGTCGGTCCTCATTCAGGAGGTCGGGGGTGGAGCCTGAGATTCAGCCCTTCTAACCAGCTCCCGGGAAACACCCATGCCGCTGGTGCAGGGAGCACACTGAGAGTAGTGAAGGCTTTCTTAGAGGGTTTTCAGTAGGTTGAATTAGAGATGGTAGTTCTCAGTAATAGGGCCAGGTATGTAGCTAGCACTCTGCATCACGAACTCATTTAACCCCCCCCAACACTATAAAATAGGTCCTATTATTATCCCCATTCTACAGATGAAGAAACTGAGGCACAGAGGGGTTAAATAAGTAGCCCGATAACTAGATGATCTGACATCCTTGTGGTCCTGACCTTAGGAAGTGCTTCCCAAGGTCTGCAGCTCCTGGTCCTGTACCTACACCCTAACAGACCCAGAGGTCACTCTGGGCAGCCTCTGTCAGCCAGCCTGGGTCTCCCACCTCCCCACGTGTCAGCCTCAAGCCTTTCCTTCCTTCAGCCTTGTCCTTACCCTGATGACGTTGGGGGGGGGGCTCCCCTCTCTAGCCCTGCCCCCCCAAGTCCCCCCACCTGGATGAGCTCTGCTCTGGCTGGAATTCAACTGCCCACAAGGCTTGGGGGGGACTCTCCACCAACCCTTCTCTTCAACAGTTCTCCAAGGCCCTGATGCACTTTGGGGAGCAGGACAGCAAGATGCAGCCGGATGAATTCTTCGGCATCTTCGACACCTTCCTGCAGGCCTTCTCGGAGGCCCGGCAGGACCTGGAGGCCATGCGGAGAAGGAAGGAGGAGGAGGAACGACGGGCGCGCATGGAGGCCATGGTGAGGGTGCTGCTGGGGCCTGGGCCTGAGCAAGGCTGAGGGAGTGGAGAGCGCGTGGGCGGCGGGAGGCTCAGGGTGCCCTAGCAAGGAGGAAAGTGGGGCCAGTTGGTAGACCCAGCCCAGGCGTCAACCCGTGAAGGAGGGCAGGTGTCTGTGGCCTGGACCGCGGTGGATGTGCTGGGCCGTGGCCTCTCACCCGCCCTCCTCGCCCCTCCAGCTGAAGGAGCAGCGAGAGCGGGAGCGGTGGCAGCGCCAGCGGAAGGTACACGCAGGCAGCGCGCTGGACGAGGGCGGCGAGTTTGATGACCTGGTGTCAGCCCTGCGCTCGGGCGAAGTTTTCGACAAGGACTTGTGCAAACTCAAACGCAGCCGCAAGCGATCAGGGAGCCAGGCCCTGGAAGCCACCCGGGAGCGGGCCATAAACAGGCTAAATTATTGACCTGGGGGACTGGCTGCAGCGGGAGGCTGGGAGACAGGGATGGGCCCAGGGCGGCGGAGTGGAGGAGGCCGTGCTAGTGATACTTACACAATTCGGTGCTGGATTTAGAGCCCTGGGCTGGGTCCTGGGGGCGGGGCTGCGTGGCAGGACCCGGTGTCTCCCCACCTGAAGGGGCTCCCCTCATCTCCTCTTCCCATTATTCTTCCTGCACCCTGGCCCCAGGGGTCACTCTCTGAGGCGGACTTGGCCATCCCTGGCCGGCCCTGCTCCCTGACCCCCAGTATGGACACCCAAATGTTGGCACAGAGCTGTTCCATATCTAGCCTGGAGAGACGTCCACGGACCTTGTCTAGATTTCACGTGCCGTGGGGAGTAACGGGCGGGGGCACCCAGGCTCCCATCTCTCAAGAGTAGGCTTAATGGAACGTTGATCTGGGGCGAAGTTTCCTATTGAAAGGAAGAGGCATGACACATGCTAGCTAGATGTGTTCCAGGAAAAAAAAAAAGGTGCTGGGAGGATGATGCAGGGACCAAGTCATCAGGACAGGGTGACAGTGCCTGTTTCCTACGTCACGAGCCCTCTGGCCCCTCTCTTGCATGTCTTAAGTCTCTCTCCCTTCCCTCCTGCCATCTCCATCCTATACTAATCCAGAATCCCGGAAAACTCACCTTTGGGTTCTCACGACTAGGGCTATCAGGTACTTGATGGATCTGGTAAGGGAAGGGGTTCAAGAAAGAAGACCCCATTCATCACCACACCTCGTACGTTGGGCACAGGGACCCTGGAATGAAACTGTCCTTCCCCACCCTGTACAACCTGACCATTGTCTTGAAGCGAGACAGTGACCTCACACGTTGGCTAGGGGTTCCAGAGGGCCAGATCCACCCAGAGCGCCTAGGTTACCACTGAACATTACTCGGACCCCATACTCGTCTGACATCTGCCGCTGAGCAGTAGGCACAGTGACCTCCTGCTCTGTCCAGCCTGCAGGAGACACTTCCAACTGCATTCGTCTGGCTGAGGTTGGCCCTGGGGCATCGGTTCCGAGGGCTCCAAGGGCAAGAGCTGCCCTCTGCAGTCAGTTACGTGCCACCTCTAAGGGAGTAAGGGGACCGCCTCAGGGGCATTCAGATGCGGGGGGGGGGGGGGGGGGCCCAGAGCAGGCAGGGGTGGAAAGCTGAGGGGGGCCCCCCCCCCCCAGCTCTGGGACCCGACTTGGTTCAGCCGACTTTCATTCTGGTTCTCCTGTCCGTTCTCACCTTCATTCTGTCCACCAGGAGCTGTCCTTGTGGGGCAGGATGATGGCTGGTATCTACACAAATTTTCTAAGGACAGAGGTGAGCTGAACTCCATCAAGGCTCATTTTTAATACATTTCCAACCCCCCAGAGTTAACCCCTCATCCTCTGTATCTGTGAGACCTGCCTGACCCTCCCTACAACCCCACATCAACAGGCTCCCTGCCCTCCTATCCTCCTGCCCTTCCCTTTTATGTTTCTCACCTTCTGACCTCCTCCTCCAGCTCAGGGTTATTGCCAGTGGACAGACCGGTGGGCTGGGCCCACTCTTCAGCTGCCTATCTTTTCTGGGGGTGGGAGCATAGTAGCTGCAGGGGAAGAAACACAGGGTTGCTGAGCCCAACATGGGTGTTGGTTCAAGGGGGAGGGATTGAGCAAGTGTAAGCCTGGTGGGGACCGGTGTGAAGCAGCCATCCTGGAGTCCAGGTGAGGGTAAGGGGAAGGCTTACCAGGAAGAGTAGCCGCAGAGCTGTGTGATACCCACAAAGCCCCCGCTGGAAGAAGCCGGCATTGGGACAATGGGAAGGTTGTGGCGGGACTTCGCAGGGTCCTCCCCCAGACTGGCCGGGCCGAGGTCCACCTCACCCACTGGGACCGGGAATAGGGAGGGCTCCACGTCTAGCCGACAGGCCTGCCCAAACCCCGGCATTCCCACCCACCGTGGAAGGCTGGATACGCACCAGGGAAGAAGGAATATGGAAGACGTTCGAGACACGTTGGATCCACAGAAAAGCACAGTTCAGTTTAACTGTTTACAGAGGACACGTATACTGATTGTTCCAGGGCTCAGGCTTCTCACCTCTAAAGATTTTGCTTTCTCTATTTATTATTTTTCTAGATCTGGCCAGTGGCTCTGACACCAGACGCCACTGTAGCCAGATCGCCAACAGTGCCTTGGACCACAGACCATCACGGCTGACTCAGCAAGAAGTGCTGGTGCCTTGGAGACAGCTGAGTTGGTCCTTGATGTGCTAAACGTTGACGCCTGTTGTATTTGTTCCTTGGTCGTTCCCAGGTGCCCTTCCTGCCACCTTTGGGTTCATTTCTCCAGCTAATTTTGTGTACAATGTAAAATTCAGTTAATCTGATGCAACCTGTCCCCTTCTCAGGAGCAACATCTGCCCCCCCTCCCCTGTGAGGCGTGTTTAGGGCGGCGGGAGGAGAAAATTCTCCGGGTGGATGGGGAAGGGTCTGGTCCAGGCTCTTCCCCAACCCTATTCCCTTTCCACTCTATGGGGGAGCCGTGACCATCCCCGCCCCCCACCTCTACCACCTCCACGCCAAGGCTGTTCTCACCAGCTATTTCAGATGACAAATGAGGCTAATGTACAAAATCTGCAGCGTCCTTTTCGCCTGCACCTTTTTTATAAGAATATGTTGTAATACTAAAAAATATTAAATCCGTGCCACCCCTACCTAACCTGCCTTGAAACCTTGTGCCTTCTTCCCATGCTGGGACGTGAGGCGTGCTGGGGAGCTGCATAGCCCATGGTGTGTTGGAAGCAGACCCTACCCGCTCTGCGAGCCCCGACTGTGACATCCTCAGGAATTCCGCAAGCCAGTTCACGTCGTACGGTAGCTTGAAATCGGCCAAGGTGGGAGGGCTTAGACCATGGAAATTGGCCTTTCTTTCTTTTCCAAGAGCTAGTTGTTAAGCATTTGCCAGCACACCTGGGTGCAGGGCCAGAGGAAAGGCAGGCGGGGGGGGGGGGGGCCGGGGGAGCGGGCACCTACCCACACCGAGAGAACCCAGCAAGCGCGTCCAGCGTTTGGGGATGTGAAAACCGGGAGCCTCTAATTGCACCCTGTGACCTCTACCAGCCGGCGACGGGATGGGCTTCGGACACCCCTACCTGACAGTGCTACTGGAGATGCTGCACCTCTGGGCCTCCCTCTCCACTCCTGCCTTCTCCCCCAGGGAAGGCGGGGTGCACGGAGAACATGCCCCTTTGCTGTTCCAGCGTCTCTCCTGCTCCTCTTTCCCCAGGAGGCGTTGGGTTGAGGGGTGGGCCTGCCATCACGGCGGCTCGGTGCCCTCGGCACAGACACAGTCCTCATTCTTGCATCCCCAAAATGGGCATCGTGGCTTTATTTGGTGCACCGTGTGGGTGAAGGCAAGCTCCATCGCTCCTCCTCCCCTGGTGTGTCCCAGGACGAAGGGGTGCAGGTGGAAAGGCCGTGCGCGGGGCAGGTGTGGGAGGTGTGCTTGGTCAGGAGGCCTCAGGGCTGTGGCCCACGAGGCCCCTGCTTGGGAGCCCTTGGCTCCCTCCCGGGGAAGCAAGGAGAAGAGAAAACCCAAGAGAGAAGGGGAGGTTATGGGCTCAACTGTCGGAGAGAGTCCACAAGTCACTCAGTGTGATTTGGGGGTTATCTAGCCTTGCTTGCTGCGGCCAGCCCCCTCCCACGACCTTAGTTAGGGTCCAGGAAGGCTGACGGGCCTGCTGGTTTCCTCTCGGGAGAAAGGAAACCTCGCAGGTCAGTGTAGGTCATCGAGCAGTAGAGGGGTGGGCTGACCTGGGGTTCCTACCGGTTGAAGGTAACTGGTGGCGGGGTGAAAGGAACTTGACATCTTTCCCTTGGCTGAAATCGCATCCCATCTCTTGACCTCGCTGGGCCAGGGGTGAGAGGGGGCAGGAGCTCTACGTCCGATGGAAGTCCCCCCGCTGACCCCCGGTCTTGCTGACGAGCTTGATCTCCGCCAACACGATGTCCCTGCTGACAGCCTTGCACATGTCATACAGGGCGAGGGCGGCCACGGCAGCGGAGGTCAGGGCCTCCATCTCCACCCCAGTGGGGCCCCGAGCCCGGCAAGACGCCCGGACCACCACGGCGTGGCGCGTGCTGTCCAGCTCCAGCTGCACCTGGACGTGGCTCAGGGCCACGTGGTGGCACAGGGGGATCAGCTGGCTGGTCAGCTTGGCCGCCTGGACGCCTGCCAGCTGGGCCACCACCAGGGCGTCTCCCTTCTTTAGCTGGTTCTCCTGGACGAGCTTGTAGGCCACAGGCCCCAGGAGGACCACGGCTGAGGCCACGGCCACCCGCTCTGTGTCTGGCTTCCCACCCACGTCTACCATGGCCACCTGTCCTTCCCCGTCCACGTGGGTCAGTTGGTCTGAGGTGGGCAGAGGTCCTGACGGGGTGGCAGGAGCCCGGGGCTCTGGGCTAAGGCACTTTGGGTTGGCATCTGAGTCGAGGTGGGAACCGTAATGTCTCTGAGGGAGACCAGATGCCAGCCACCGCTGGGCGAGGAGAGGGATCTGGGGGAGCCAGCCCCCTTTCCACGAAGTCACCATCTGGCTGGAGAAACTCACTCTGTGTCTCAGACCCTGAACATGGAGGGAGTCCCTGAAGGAGATGCTTGGAATGGCTGGTGGGGAATCTTGGCACATCAAAAATAACTCTGGAAGGAAAAGGAAAGAGAAGAAAGGCTCAGTCCAAAAGGTAGGTCTTTTGCCACCTCCCTCCCCAAGCCTCTCCCCACCAAACCCCGAGTTCTCCCGTTCACACTGGGGAAAGGGGAATGAGGGGCAAAGAGCACAGCGAGGAGAGAGAGAAAAGCGATGATACACAGAGATACACAGAGAAAAGCGATGATACACAGAGGCCCCCGGAATAAACACGTGCAGCCCTCCTCTCCAGGAGGTACACAGGCCCAGGGTCCCGCAGGCTCTGCCTGCCCTGCAGTGGGGTCTGTGGGTGCTCCCACCTGGGCTCCCCTCCTCACAACTTTCCTTTTGCCCAAGTTCTCTTAAGAAACACCTAAGGTCTGAAGACTAAAGCCTCGATCAGATGACTGCTCTGTCCCTTCATTTTCTTAAAACGATAGCGAGGCCTCAGCCTGAATTACCAATTAGTTACTCTCATCTTCACGTTCTCCGGGAAGGGCTAACAGAAATCATATAGTTTATAGACAACATACTAAGGTAACTATTTAATCTATTTAAACAACATCTCAAGCAGATCAGAAGCATACACAAAGCAACAGGATGATCTGAATGGTCCCAGGGGCCTCGGGGACCTTGTAGGCTCTTGTTACTCAAAGGGTGGTCCAGGGACCGCCAGCGCCAGCACCATGTGAGGACTGTTAAAAGAGATGCAGCCCGGGCCTCCCGAATCCGGATCTGAAACAACAAGATCCCTAAGGGATTCAAAGGCACGTGAAAGTCTAAGAGGCCCTGTTCTAGGCAACTCTTGGTTTTATAGAGATCAGACCACTTTAGTTACTCTATATCCTTGAGAGTATTATTATTCCTTCTAAAGCAATTAGGCCTCCCAACCTCTAGCTTTCCATCATGCTCTGGCCCCCCTACCTTGTCAGTGTCAGAGGTACAAGTATCAAGGCATCCCCCACTCCTTGCCATCAAGGCGTGTCAGCATGGGTCAAGGCCCAACACAAGAGAAAGAGGATGGTGGAGGTGACGGCAGAAGAGAGGTGATACAGTTTTCTTCCCGATGGCATGCTGTGGTGAGCCGCCCTTCCTTCTCTGGGTGGCTGGTGTGGTCCGTGGGCTGTCTCTGGTCCATTCCAGCCCACATGCCTCAGGGCTCACTCTGCTCCAAGTGTTGAAGGAAAAGAATCCCTTCCCCTGGTCGTTCTCACTGCTTTCTCTTGCTTAGGGCACAATTCAGGGGCCCAGATCTGGCTGTGGCCGAGGGGACGAGGCCTCCCCTGCTCTAGCCTGGGCATGCACCAGAGAGATAACAGCATCCCCAAAGCTCCGCATGGACCAGCTAGTTCCCCAGGGTTAGAGACCACATGAGGCTCAATAAAAAGGTGTTTCTGTTTGAAGCGTCCTATGCACATAAGAGACGCTCTGGGCACATAAGTTCCCGGGAGTTAAGGAATTAGGCAGTTGAGATCCTGGCTGTGTCCTCCCTAGGAAGCTGAGTAGCACTCTTAGCTTGCTGCCTAAGCGCTGCCCACACAGAAGCGTAACAACACAAGGACCAATGGCCGCTAATGGTCCGGACACGCACGTGAATTGACCCACAGGACAGAAGGGAAGGGACGCCTGTGACTGTATCCAAGCTGGGAGATTCTAAAGCCGAGGACAAGATCTCTGTCTTACCCAGAAGCTCCATTTTCAGGGGACAACTAACATAGCGATCGTAAACCTGGAGGACCCCCCCCGACCCGATTTCTGGTGAGACAGAACGATGATTTCTGTACAGTAAGAGGGAGCCAGGGAAGGGAAGAAAAGCCACAGTAAAGCTTTGGAGGGGTAGGAAAAGGTGAAGGATGAGAACCTCAGGATGAAGTGCAGGATCAGGGTGGGGGGCGCCTACGGCAGGGGCCCCACCCCACGGGATCCCCCCCTGACAAGGGTGAGTGGTTACGTACTGATGGGTCACCCACCGATGAGGATCATGGGCCGGTTCTTCATCTGGGAAATACTGAACATGCCTGGGGCGAGGGAAGGATGGTGGGGGGAGAGGAGAGCAGGGAAGCGGGGAGAGAAAGAGGGCGGGGAAAAGAGTTCACTGAAACGAACGATGGACACAGAGGTATGACAGCCCCGTGGACACGCACTCACCTACCGCAGCCCGACAAAAAACCCCCGCCGTACACTGCAAGGTCGCCCATGATGGAGCCCATGACAGCTTTTGGATGCCAGGACCCTGCCCTCCCTGTCAGGGATGAGAGAGGGGCAATGACACCCCTCTTTCTCCACCACCCAATGAAACAGCCCGAGAGAATGTGGGGCCCCCCGTCCTGTGCAGGCTCTGCTCTTCCCCTGGGAAGGAGAAGCATCACCGCACCCCAAGTCTAGAGGTCCAGCAGAAGTGACGGAGAGCACGGACCACACTGAGTGCCACTGCCTCACTACAGACCTCCCACCTGCTGACAATGGACCACTCACCGCCCAGCCTGGCCTCCCCGCCCCCTTACCTGCATGCTGCCGCTTCTTCCTGCCCACGGCAGCCCCAATGATGCGCCGCAGCTCCTCCTCAGAGGCCCCCGCCCGCAGGTGATCCCGTAGAGATACCTCTGAGTTCCCAAAGAGGCAGACCTGGAGAGATCACATTGCGGGTGAGGCCAACATGCCCCCCTCATCCTGAGCCTTGGCCCCCATCCTTGGAGCCCCCCTGGGCTGGGCACGAGGGCCTCCCATGGCTGGTCATACTCAAAGCAGGTCTTCCTGCAATGAGGGGCCGAAAGTGCTAGATGGAGGAGTCGGAGGGGCTGGAAGGGCAGGAGGCAAAAGCAGACACCCCAAGGCCTGCATCATCTGACTTCCGGTCACGTTTCCTTCAGCGCGTGGTGCGTACTTGAAAAATACCAAATAACTGCCGAAAGATACAGCACATCAAAATCTAGATCCACACCTTCTCCTGAGACATTCCATGTAAAGGCCTCTTCATTGCACGGGAACGGACCCCAGTCAGTGGGAGCTGAGCCCTGGCAGTCCCCTCCAGACCCGGCATGTACATCCATTTCCCCTCCATCCTCTTCCAGTCCCTTTGCTCCCGGACCCTGCCCGCCTGGCCCTGCTCTGGTTTGTGGCCCCTGACTTGGGGCTGAACAGCAGAGGGCTGGTGGAGATGGCAGCCTGAGGTCATTCAAACTTGACTCAATGCTCCCCTGATTCTGGGAGAGGCTGGGAGCTCTGGGGGGCTCGGGGTGGATGGGGCAGTCCCAGAAGGTGGGACACCTACTTCCTCCCATGAAGCCCCACAAAGCACCTACCAAGTGTCAGCCCTGTGCAGGGAGCTGTGGGCACAGAAGCACGTGTGACAAGCAGACAACATCAGAGAAGATATGAACGAGATCTAAGTGGAAGATACACCCACTTCCCCGTGCTGGTCAGTCCCCCTTCCTCGCTCCCCACCAGCCCCCACTCTCTGCCCTCTTCTGCAATCAGAGCCCCCCTCCTGCTGGCTTCCGCCTGGGTTTGGCTGATGGGAGGTCAGAGGGTGAGAGCAGAGAAAGGCCGGGCACTTCTCGGCAGTGGTGCTTCTGTCCACAACCACAGCCCCAGCCAGGCGGCCGCTCCAGCTCTCCTGGGAGCCCAGTGACGCCAACTCCTCCCCTGCCCCTTCCCTCCCAGGGGTGGGACAGCAGTTTGCTGCTGCTCATCCAGTGCCCTTACAGCCCCCCTTAACCCTGCGCTATAAACAGCCTCTTCCTCACATTCTCCTTAGAATCCTCCCTCCACTTCCCGCAGCGGGGTGGAGGGGACTGACTGACACAGTTACCACCAACTGTCCACTCAGTCCTGTGCCTCCAGCCCAGAAGACCCCCTCGCTTTATAACAACCTGCTGCACAGTTCCTATCGGGTGTCCAGCCTGACGGTCCAAACCCACCCACCAGCACCCTCACCCCCGATCCCAAGCAGGTCCCAGAGCTGACCAGACAGCCCGGAGCCTCTCTCTCCACCCACACCTGCAGCTCCAAGTTCTTTCACTCTTCCTTCCCACCTTCACCTTAACTCTTACATATCTGGAACATCACAAAGTGGCCATTTAACTGTCTTTCTATTTCCAAATTCAACCTGGGAGTTATTCTTCCTAAAACATGAATCAGGGATCCTGCCTCCCCACCTTGTATAAAAACTCTGCCCAGTGTCCTCCTGTCAACAGGACACACTCTGCACCTTGCATGGGGTCACTCAAGCCCTCCACGAGGTGGCCTCCCCATAGCTGACTTTAATCTGCCCTGGCCAAATCAGGATGAACGCATCCATCCTCCCCCCACCACTACCTCCCCCCGCACCAGGCCCAGTCTCCATGGCTCACTGAGGTCCCTGTGCGCTCCCTCCAGGTTCACCACCAGAGGCCTGTCCGGCCCCTCATTTGATGAAGAATCCCATACTGCCACCCATTAGCTCTTTGTTTGGTCTCACAGGGAGTCTCTGTGGCCTCACAGAAGATGGGCATGTCCGCGCCTCCCTTCCACCCGCCGTCCCCGGGCCTGAACGCACAGCATGTGCTGATGAGATACTAGATATGAGTAATGGATGCTGGTTTCAGGAATGAACCCCTGGCCTGGTGGGAGGGGCCAACCAGGGTGGGGGCTGGGGGCAAAGGGCACATCGATCCCCGCCCAGCCCTCCCACAGCACTGAGTCCTGGAGAGTGGCTCCTGATCAACCAGGGACCCAAGGAAGGAAGGAACCAGGGTGACGGTTCCATGGAAGCCACGAGTTCACCTTGATCTGCTGCTCCCACGATCCTCCCATATCTGACACTATCTCACCATCACCCCGTGTACCCTGCTAGCCTCACCTCCAATCAGGGGGCATGGGTAGGAAGACATAAACAGAGCACAGAGGGGACGGGGTGCCCATGGGGAAGGGGACACTCACCTTGAGGTTCCCGTCAGCTGTGATTCGCAAGCGGTTGCACGTCCCACAGAAATGCTCAGACATGGACGTGATGAAGCTGACTCGGCCTCGGAAGCCAGGGATTTTAAAGGCCTGTGGGTGAGCAGTGGAGGGGAGGGGGATAGGCAGTTGAGTGCCAGCTCTCTCCCTGACATCAGAGCCCTTACCTCTCGGCCCTCTCCCCAGGAGCCCTGCAGAAAGCAGCCCCCAAGGCCCTCGGACAACAGAAGACTCCAGTATGAAGCCCATGAGCTCTCCGCCTGCACCTGGCCTGCCCCAAACAAAGGCTACTAAAGATGCAGGAACCTGAGGGCAACACGGCCAGGGACAGCCACGTGGAAGAGCCAGACAAGCACCCGCTCCACCACTCAGTCCAGTGCATCCTACAACAAGTTCCTTAACCTCTGCCCCACGTCGGGCCTGCTTCTGCGTCAGTGAAGCAGGGAGGCTGCTATGATGGCCCTAGAACACTTCCTGCTTAAAAGGAACTGTCCTGCATCACTGACTCCACCCCCAAAGCAGCCCCTACCAGCTCTCCCGTCCTAGGGTGGAAGCACCACCTTTCTCCCGGCCCCATCCCTGCCCTCCCGCCAACCTTGGCTGTGCTGGATTCCTCCTCCGGCAGCTTCTCCAGCTCCGGCCACTGCTGCCTGAGGGTGTCCAGCATCTCCTTGTAGCTGACCATCTTCTTGAAGTTCCACTTGTTGCCTGTATTGGGGGCGGGAGCTACTGAGTCACATGATGCGGGGACCCAGGGGCTTCAAGTTCACCCTCCCACAGCCCAGGAACCAGTTCTCTGCCGCCAGGCCAGGAGGGCACAAGGTGCCTGAAATGGGTGGATGGAATCACAGCCACGCCCACTCTGAGAAGCCTCCGACCCCCATCGAAGCCCCGGTGCCTGCCCAGGCCCCTCCCCACCATCCCTGGAGAAATTCCTACACACACAGTGGTATCGGGGCCAGCAGCACCCACAGGGGCAGCCGGACCTTGTCCGCCCTCCTCAGCCTTTCCCAGGGTTCTTGACAGCCCCCCGTCATGCTCTCAGCGGGGCTCTGGTCCAGCTCTGCCGACAGGCCCGGCCGCCTCTTCCCCCACCCACCCCGCCCTGCGGCACTGACCGTCGAAGGGCATGTACTCTATGAAGCGCACGTCCAGGGGAAGGCCCTCGGTCAAGGCCACGAAGTCCAGGAGTTCATCCTCATTCAGGCCTCGCATCACCACACAGTTCACCTGGTCCAGGGATAAGGGGACCACAAGGGCTATCCCCACTGCATTCTTTTCCAGGGATGACCCTTGTTGGGGATCTGACACCTGCCTAGGCTCTCCACCCAGGGTCCCGTTCCTTGTGTCCCTCCCCCAGTTCTCCATGGGTTGGAAGATTCCATGGGTCAGTGGTTTTCTCCCCTCCCTTGTGGGGAGTGGGGAGCAGGGCTGGATGGAGCGGGCCAGGAAGTGGTGAGGGGTACACCGCAGGTGCACTGGCCAGGGCTGGGGCCTGTCTTGGGGCCAGGAAGTCCTCACCTTCACAGGACTGTAGCCCAGCTCAATGGCCTTGTGGATGCCCTCCATGACCTTGTGGAAACCTGTGGGGAGGGAGAGGAACAGGGTCCAGGCACTGCCTTCCTCTCCCCCACATCCTCACACCCATAGAAAGCACCAGAGCCACAAGGAACCTCAGAGACCGCCGAGTCTGGGGACCAGAGAGTAAATATTTCAGGCTCTGGAGGCCAAGAGGCAAAATTGAGGATAGTATGTAGATATACATCATAAAGATTTTATTGACTAAATTCAGAATATGGTAATAATTGAGTATAATATTTGTAACACCACTCTGGAATAGAATGAAAGAGTGGAATTCTTTTTGCAGGGATAATATGTTGATTAATTGGTATTCATGGTTAATGTTCCCTATCATTAAATTCATTGCAAATGTTATCTGCAAAATCCATTCTTGGCTCAAAGGCTGTAAGAAAAACAAACCAGGCAGGGGGCTGGAGTTGGCTGGTGGGCTGTAGTGCGTGGACCCTGATCTAGGTGAACCCTCTCATAGCCCAGATGAGGAAACCGAGGTCCAGAGACAGGCAGGGCTCAGCTGGGGGTCTCGCACAGAAGGCAGGACCCCCAACTCCCTCCTGGTGCCTGCTCTTCACCAGTCCGACCGTTCACCCATTCTTCATATGCTCACCGAGCACCTACCAAGCGTAGGTGCTGGGCCAGGGCTGGTGAGCGATTCCTGTGCACGTGGCTCTCTCCTATCTCTGTGGTTAGTGCAGTAAATGTGATCCCAGGCTGGCTTCTCCTCCCCACCGCAGCTCAGTCATGTATCCAAACATGTGAGCACCTCCGGCATAACGGCCCCTCCCCCACCCCCAGCCAGCTTCCACGGTTTCCTTGCAGCATTTTCAGAGTAAGACAGCAGGAAGAGACGGCAAAGGAAAGACTGTACAGCTTTTGTACAAAATGCCGTTAGGATAATCTAGAAGTTCTCTCTTCCGTCAAGCCCTCTCCCTCCAAAAGGAGGCAGGGGACACAGGGATATGAATGGGAAGCAGATCTGGCATCAGGATCTACTGTCTCCGATGCTCATTCCAGGAAGGAGTCAAGGAGGCAGGGGGCATGGGGAAGTGGGGCTGGGGGTTCTCTGGGTAAAGCTCACAGTTATACCTTCCACTTTCCCACCTCAGAGCCCCTGCAGTTCTCGACTGACATTCCTCCTCAGAGTAAGCTCCCTTGATCTGACCACCCGGCTCCTGAAGGGCCAGCATGAATGCCTCCTCCTTGAAGCCCTCCCAGTCTCCCCCTGCTGGAGGAGAGAGCCCTAGAGAGAAAGAGTTCTCTCTTCCGCTCTGCAAGTGCTTGAACTGACAGCACAAGACAAGCAAAGGTGGTTCCGTGGCATCACACCTTTCGGCCCTTCGTAGCCTGTAAGGCAGGACAGTGTCCTGTGCGTCTGTCCCCTCCACAGCACCTGGAGCAGCCTTTAGAGGGCAAAGACACTCCCCCCCAAGCACTTCCTCACCACACTGCCAAATATAAACAGGAAGTCACACGCTGGGGGAGGGTGGAAAGAGGAGGTGGGGCTGAGAGCTGGAGGCTGTTTCCAGAGAAGCAGAGGGAAAGCTGGGTCTCCCCGGCATCTCTCTGATCCTCCAGAGAGGTCTCAGTAGTGCACCACCCTCCCCAAATCAAAGGGCATCTGAGCCTGTGCAGAACCTGCCATCCCAACCTGGGGCCCACGGATGGTGGGCGCTGGCCTAGTGAGACCCGGGGCTCAGGCCCCTCCGCTCTCCACTGCCACCCTCTCTGATGAAGCCTGGCAGGAGGAGGCTGTGGGTGTGCTTGCTGTAGGGGGTGAAGGAAGAGGCTTACAACAGGATGGGCTCAGGGAGCATCCTTAGGTGCTGGGGGACCCTCAGCTGGCAGGGCTGGCCCTGTCCCTGGAACCCCAGGGCAGCTAGCTGCTTTCACCCCAGGCTGCCCCACATTTCCTCAGAGCTCACTATAGGGTAACCAACTTGTCTCAGTTTGTCAGGGACTGTCTTGGTTTTAAAACGGAATGTCCTGTGTTCTTGAAACCCTCTCAGTCCTGGGCAAACTGGGGACAGGGTAGGGGGAGGCTGGTCACCACAGCTCATTAGCATCCGATCCCAAAACGTCCCCAAGAGTGTGGCTACAGAGACGAGGGACCTTTAGCAAGACTGAGGGATGAGGTGTAAATGCCTAGGCTTAGCTATAGCCCGGACACCAAGAGGGAGACCAGGCCCCTTGCACCAGCCACAGCTCCCCAGCTACGAGGGCCTGGGAGGGTCACCGTCCACCGTGAACCCCATGTGATCACCTTTCCTGCGGACGATGAACTCAAACTTGGCTGGTACCAGCGTGTCCAGGCTGATGTTGATGGTACTGAGGCCAGCTTCCTGAAGCTGCGGCAGCAGCCGGGCTAGGTTGATGCCGTTGGTGGTGATGCCAATGGTCCTCAGCCCTTCCAGCTGGTGGAGCTGTGCTGGAGAGAGAACAGCAAGGGGTATTAGCCTTCTTGCTCTTGGTGAGGCCAGGAGAAGGGCTGGAAGGAGAAACTCTGAGCCAGATAAGATGGATGGAAAAGGGGCTCTCTGTGGACCTCTATTAACCAGGCTTAGCTGAATAAGAAATATAAGAAGAAGAAACAACCAAAAGATTAAACACCGAGTGCTCACCTTGCTAGAGTGCAGACGGGATCAGATGGATCAAGGAGACTGGAGCCCAAAGTGCACCCTGGAGACGGTTCTATACAAAGCGGGAGGGTAAGTAGCTGCACCCAGCTTAGCAGTCACCTAGGCAAGGAGCAGGAGGGCCCCGGGCCTATCAAGGAGGCTGCCTGTCTGGGAAACTATATATGGATGAGCTGGGTACGTTGGTCTCCCTCCCATGCCTGTGAGTAGGAGGAAGGCAGCAGCTTTTACCCCAAGGCTGAAAGCGAGCTGAAGGGGGTGGGGGCAGCCCTGAGTAGCTGCAGATACTCAGGAGACGGGATCCCTGGAGTCCAGAAGAACTCCACTTCCCTTCTCCACAAACTCAGGGGCAACCAGCATAAACAGATATAGCACTGACAGCCAGGCCAACAGAAGCCTTGGACACTGAAATGAGTACACAGCTAAGAATCAGTAAATATGGGCTTCCCTGGTGGTGCAGTGGTTAAGAATCTGCCTGCCAATGCAGGGGACACGGGTTTGAGCCCTGGTCCAGGAAGATCCCACATGCCGCGGAGCCACTAAGCCCGTGCGCCACAACTACTGAGCCTGCGCTCTAGAGCCCGTGAGACACAACTACTGGGCCCTCACGCCACAACTACTGAAGCCCACGCGCCCTAGAGCCCGTGCTCCACAACAACAGAAGCCACTGCAATAGGAAACCCACGTACCACAACGAAGAGTAGCCCCCACTCACCACAACTGGAGAAAGCCCACGTGCAGCAACGAAGACCCAATGCAGCCAAAAATAAAAATAAAAATATACATTAAAAAAAGATCAGCAAACATTTTAAAAGAATGCTGTGATATGGGGAGGGGGAAGGGTAAGCTGGGACGAAGTGAGAGAGTGGCATGGACATATATACAGTACCAAATGTAAAATAGACAGCTAGTGGGAAGCAGCCGCATAGCACAGGGAGATCAGCTCAGTGCTTTGTGACCATCTAGAGTGGTGGGATAGGGAGGGTGGGAGGGAGACGCAAGAGGGAGGAGATTCAGGTTTTTGTGAGATGTTACAGAAAAATCCAAATGAACTTTTTGGCCAACTCAACAGAAGAGTGAAAGAGGAAGAAGAAAGGACAGAGATAACAGAAGATGACTCTTTCAAAAATCAGAGTTAGATAAACATAGATGCAAAAATCCTCAACAAAATATTATTAGGAAACCAAATTCAACAACACATTAAAAGGATCATACACCACGATCAAATGGGATCTAGTCCAGGGAGGCAAGGATGGCTCAACATCCACAAATCAATGTAATACACCACATTAACAAACTGAAGAATAAAAATCATATGATCATCTCAATAGATCCAGAGAAAGCATTTTATAAAGTTCAACGTCAGTTCATGATGAAAAACTCTCAACAAAGTAGGTATAGAAGGAATGATCCTCAGCATAAGAGAGGCCATATATGACAAGCCCACAGCTAACATCTTACACAACAGTGAAAAGCTACATGCTTTTCCTCTAAGATCAGGAACAAGAGAAGGATGGTCACTTGTGTCACTTTTATTCAACATAGTATTGGAAGTCCAAGCCACAGCAAATGGAAAAGAAAAATAAAAGGCATCCAAATCAGGAAAAGAGGAGGTAGAACTGTCACTATTTGCAGATGATACTATACACAGAAAACTCCAAAGACTCCACCAAAAAACCATTAGAACTAATCAACAAATTCAGCACAGTTGCAGGATACAAAATTAATATGCAAAACTTCATTGCATTTTCATACACTAATAACAAATTATCAGAAACAGAAATTAAGAAAACAACTTACAATTGCATCAAAAAGAATAAAATACCTAGGAATCAATTTAACCAAGGAGGTGAAAGACTTGTACACTGAAAACCGTTAACACACTGATGAAAGAAATTGAAGACAACACAAATATTGATAAATGGAAAGATATTCTCTGCTCATGGATTAGAACAGTTGATATTGTTAAAATGTCCCGTACTACCCAAAGCAATCTCCAGATTCAATGCAATCCCTATCAAAATTCCAATGGCATTTTTCACAGATATAGAACAAACAATCTTAAAGTATGTATGGAACCATAGAAGACTCTCAATAGTCAAAGCAATCTTGAGAAAGGAGAACAAAGCTGGAAGCATCATGCTCGCTGATTTCAAACCATATTACAAAGCTATAGCAATCAAAACAGTATGGTATTGGCATAAAAAAACACATGGATCAATGGAACAGAATAGAGCCCAGAAATAAAGCCATGCACATACAGTCAATTAATTTATAACAAAGGAGACAAGAATGGAAAGGACAGTCTCTTCACTAAATGGTGCCAGGAAAACTGCATAGCCAAGTACAAATGAATGAAACTGGACCACTATATTACACCATACACAAAAATTAACTCAAAATGGATTAAATATTGATCTGAAACCATAAAACTCCTAAGAGGAAACATGCAGTAAGCCCCTTTGACATTGGTCTTGGTGATTTTTTTGGATTGGACACCAAAAGCAAAGGCAACAAAAGCAAAAATAAGTGGGGCTATATCAAACGAAAACGCTCCCACACAGCAAACGAAATGGAAAGTCCACCTACTGAATGGCAGAAGATATTTGCAAATGATACATCTGATAAAGGGCTGATATCCAAAATATATGAAGAACTCATATAACACTAAAAAAAAAAAAACCTTTTAAAAAATGGGCAGAGGATCTGAATAGACATTTTTCCAAAGAAGATACACGGATGGCCAATAGGTATATGAAAAGGTGCTCAACATTACTAATCACCGGGGAAATGCAGATCAAAATCACAATGAGATATCACTTCACATTTGTTAGAATGGCTATGATCAAAAAGACAGGAAAAAACAAGTGCTGGAAAGAATGTGGAGGAAAGGGAACCCCTGTGCACTGCTGGTGGGAATGTAAATTGCTGCAGCCACTACAGAAGAGAGCACAGAAATTCCTTAAAAAATTAAAAACAGAACAACCATATGATCAGCAATTCCACTTCTGGGTATTTATCCAAAGAGAGTGAAAACATTAACTCAAAAAGATATATGCATCCCTATGTTCACTGTAGCATTATTTATAATAACCAAGATTTGTCCATCAATGGGTGAATGGATAAGGAAAACGTGGTGTGTGTGTGTGTGTGTGTGTGTGTGTGTGTGTGTGTGTAATGGAATATCATTCAGCCATAAAAAAGAAGGAAATCTTGCCATTTGTGACAACATGGATAGCCCTTGAGGGCATTATGCTAAATGAAATAAGTCAGACAGAGAAGACAAATACCATATAATCTAACTTATATGTGGAATCTAAATAAAACCAAAAAAAAAAAAAAAAAAAAAAACAACCACACACCAAAAAACCAAACCAAACAATAAAGGGATGTAGGAAAACATCCAGATGGGCAACAACAGAAAACTGGCTAAATCATGCTTTGTCTAAGTGATGATGGAGTATTATGCAACTAAAAATGACTCTGTAAAAGAATAAGTTAGGATGTTGGGAAATACACATGTCACATTAAATCCAGAGGGCAGGTTAAAAACAGTAGTTGAAAACTAGGTGCAAAGAAAAAAGACAGGACGGTCGCCAAACCAAAATGTTGGCAGTGGTTACAGTTGGGCAGTAGTGATACTGTTTTTGCTTATCTGAAATAAACATGTATTACTTTTGTAGTAAGAAAATAAAAGTTTAAAAATAAAAGTTGTTGTTTTAAAAACAAAGAAAAGAACTTTCCTCTGGGACTCTGACAATATGGAAAATTAGTAGTAGTTTTTGGCTCCCTCCACCAAATCAACCCTGAAGAAACACAGAATCCAGGAACTTAAAAAAAAAAAAAAGACAATCTCGAGAAACTCACAGGAAGATGGACAGTCCTTTCGAGCTGGTATGGGGGAGGGGGTGTGTAGCCTGGGGTTGAAGTAGACCGGCAGAGAACGGAAGCAGTTAAAGGAAAGCAAGGCAGTTCAAGCTCTCTCCTTACCCTCATCCACTGATGCCTCAGTACCATCAATGCTGTCCCCTTCCTGAAGAATTTGGTGGTAAGAGCTCCAGAGAACTAGCTTAGGAGGTCAGCTCAGGGAAGCTGCCAAAGCCCTGCTGGGATTCATCCCTCCACCCTCCCCCTCCAAAGCCCCAGGACTGGTGAATTAAAATGGAGAGTAACTGCCTCCTTCCAAATCTGCTTCTCTCCGAGGGTTTGAAGGTGAAGGTCTGTCATATTACATCACTCCAGGAGGTGCCATTCTCATCACATTCTAAGTCAACAGCATCTCCCAGGGTTATGCAAGTACACAACCTGCGCTGTCCTACGTGGCCAGGCTGGTCACTGGTGGGGAGATTACAAACATGAGTGAATAACTGTGATTTTCTGGGATCTTGAGCTCACTGGGTCTATTGAAGACTAAGATCTGGCCTTAAACCTTTTCCCATTAAGCAGTGCCATACAGAATAGCTAATATCCTCAGGGGAACAAACTTACTGCCTAAACTAAGGAGACCCTTGAGAAGTACAATCAGTGCTTCCCCCACCAAAAACAAAACAAAACAAAAAAACCCCAAACACCCCCAACCCTCTATATATATCAATAGAAATGATCAAACAGACCAAGAATGTAAGATAAACATAAATACAATAAAAGAAATAACAGAAGATATTAACAATATGAAACAAAATGTTTCATTATAAAAGGGAACAAGGGAAAGTAGTAGTTAAAAACAGTATTGTGAAATAAAGAACACAAGAAATAAGTTAAATGGTAATATCAACATAGGAGAAATTGATGA